ACTGTACTGTACTGAACTGTACTGTACTGTACTAAAGCAGTCGTTTGTAGCATTAACACTAATCACTTCTTCGTGGTCCAGGTTTGGTGAACGTGTGACATCATCTGCATCAGAAGGCAGGAACAAAAAAATAAACAAAAAAAGAACTTCAACAAAAAAACAAAACAAAAACTTCTACTTTATTTGAGATTGATTGTAAAGAATTATCTGAATAAATTGCACTTTTATTAAGGAACGATATTTGACATTTATAAATATTTCTTTCCCCCCATGTCCCTTCAGGGGCTCTATAATTTTGAATTCATTTACAATACAATATATTCAACGCATGTTGCTCAAGAGATCAATTAAAACAAATTAAGTATTATTTTAAGCAACATGTTTAGCACTGAGGCGACAAGAAAAACTTTTTTGGTTTTAATTGTTATCAGGATTTAATCAAAAACAAAACAAAAAAAAACATATGGCACGTGGACCAATATCAGCCCACTAGGGAGTTCAGTCTGGCCCGCTTGATGAATTTTGAAAGTGAAAAAAATGCATGTTGGTGATGTTTGGTCAAATTGTATTTCATTAAATATGAATATCCTCTAATGGTCTTGTACTTATTCACAGGAAAACAAAGGGGGAAAACATCAACTTTTTGTTATTTATAAGTAATTATGCATAAACTTTTTGTTATTTATAAGTAATTATGTCATGATTGTACTGGTCCGGCCCACTTGACACCTAATCCGGGCCGTATGTGGCCCCTGACCACCCCTGCTGTAGAGTCATTCACTCACTGATCTTTGCTTGTTTGTTTGTTTAGAGTATCTGCTGTGTATAAAAATACTTCAGAGACAGATGTGGACAGAGTATTACCTCTGTGGGCCAGTTTCCTTCTGCAGTAGAGCGCCACCAGTGACACGACGCCCATAGTGACTCCACACGTCGTCAACATGACCAGTAGTAGCTTCACGATCGCCACCTCTGCTCAGAGGACACAAAACAGCAGCCTTTAAAACCAGGCAGTGAAATATATTATATATATTTTTTACATTTCATTTTGTCTATTTAAAAACTAATCTATTTAAAATTAAAAATGTCTTCCTCAGCGTGTTTTAGATTTTTCAGAATAAAATTAGGAATGTGACTTTTTCCACTATAATCTCAAAATATTTTTTTCTCTTTTTGTTTGTAATTCTGAAAAATATTGTCAAAATGTTGTCCTTTTTTTCTCACTGGAATTTTTCTGTTGGAATGGCAAGATTTAAGATAAAGTTCAAAGACTTTGCTGAAAAGTTTAATGAGTTTTATGAAAAATTCTAAAAAGAAAATCACATTTTTCACTTGATGTCAAAAACATTAAGATTATTATATTATATTTTTAACAAAAGACAACACTAGATTATTTCTCTTACCTGTTACAGCGGTGATGTGAGTTGAAGTAAAAGTTCCACCGTCTGTTTCATCTGTTCAAATATTAACACACAGTTCGATTCTAACGATTTTCCTTCTGTAGAAAAGTTCAATCTGGAGAGACGTTTGTTACCGTTTATGGTCGTTCTCAGAGTTGAAGAAAGACGACTGACAGGAGTTGGAGCTGTGAAAATACAAATAAAAATGTTAGAGGAAAAAACACTACGGCCGCCGTCATGTCAACGTCTGAGTTTCCCCTGGAATGTTCGGACTTTTTTACCTGGTGTCCACGGAATCCTTGAGGTTTCCATGTCGTCCAACTTTTTATTTCCTTCATGATAATAAAGTTTGAAATTACTGCACAAAAAGTAACAGGAAGTGATGTGTGATGATGGTGACTCCATATAAACTCACCGTTTACGATGACAGACACCGTGTTGCTGTGAGGAGACGGATTTATACCATTTAAGTTGACGGTGTAAAAACACCGGAGTTGAACCTCAGCAGGTGATGTCTGTCCTGACATCAACAGCAGCTCTGTCCCCGTCAGCGTCTTCAAACAGGAAAAGACTTTAGTTTCTTCTTTTGTCAGGGTGTAGAAATAACACCGAGAAGCGGTGACCATGTCGACAGGCCGACACTCCAGTGTGTCTGTTTCTGTCTCAGTGATATTCGGCTTGGTCACTGTCAGCTTAGGTGAGAGCAAAGCTGAAAGGGAACAGAGAAAAAAAGAAAATCAAATTTTTCACTTGATGTCAAAAACATTAAGATTATTATATTATATTTTTAACAAAAGACAACACTAGATTATTTCTCTTACCTGTCACAGCGGTAATGTGAGTTGAAGTAAAAGTTCCACCGTCTGTTTCATCTGTTCAAATATTAACACACAGTTCGATTCTAACGATTTTCCTTCTGTAGAAAAGTTCAATCTGGAGAGACGTTTGTTACCGTTTATGGTCGTTCTCAGAGTTGAAGAAAGACGACTGACAGGAGTTGGAGCTGTGAAAATACAAATAAAAATGTTAGAGGAAAAAACACTACGGCCGCCGTCATGTCAACGTCTGAGTTTCCCCTGGAATGTTCGGACTTTTTTACCTGGTGTCCACGGAATCCTTGAGGTTTCCATGTCGTCCAACTTTTTATTTCCTTCATGATAATAAAGTTTGAAATTACTGCACAAAAAGTAACAGGAAGTGATGTGTGATGATGGTGACTCCATATAAACTCACCGTTTACGATGACAGACACCGTGTTGCTGTGAGGAGACGGATTTATACCATTTAAGTTGACGGTGTAAAAACACCGGAGTTGAACCTCAGCAGGTGATGTCTGTCCTGACATCAACAGCAGCTCTGTCCCTGTCACCAACTTCAAACAGGAAAAGACTTTAGTTTCTTCTTTTGTCAGGGTGTAGAAATAACACTGAGAAGCGGTGACCACGTCGACAGGCCGACACTCCAGTGTGTCTGTTTCTGTCTCAGTGATCCTCAGCTTGGTCACTGTCAGCTTAGGTGAGAGCAAAGCTGAAAGGGAACAGAGAAAAAAGTTTTAAAAAATGAATGTAATTTTATCTGAAAAACAATTTTTTTTTAAAAAATCACCTTGAATTTCCATCCTTTGTGATGAACCTAGAAAAAAGAACAGAGTTCAAAAGGTTTCAATGTAATAATCAATCATCAAATCAAATAATCAATCATCAAGTGAATAGAATTCAGCACCGGTTGAACTCACACATAAGAAAGAGAAACAACAGACGTCCTGCCATGACGTGTCTGTGCACAGAGACGGTCTGTGCCGTTGGTCTTGTCGAACTTGTATCTCATATTTTCAGAAGCAGTAAAACCACGTGAAGAACTGAAGGTTCAAATTCACAAACTACATCCTGTTCACAGAACCACCGAGCAGTTTCAGCTCATGTCCACATAAAAGTGGCCTCGAGAAAGAGTCATCATTCTGTCTAACGATAAAGAATAATGACGGAATATTTT